GCTCTAAACTTTTTTTCTGTAGGAGAAAAAGTTTTTATGCTGTGCGCGTTCGATCGAGGTACAAATGACACTCTTATGATAGATAGGCATATGAGTGTATGGGCTGATGACACGTTAATAGATGCTGTCTCAGTCTTGACCTTCTTCTATTAAATGTAGCGCTTTCGAAAGAAGAGTTTTTATGTATATATCATGTAGTTATAGAGTATATTTGTACCTCAAACGATTTTTATATTCATATTTTTCCGTACTTGAAAGCTTAGAAAATTCAATCGAAAGAAAAACAAGGAAAGATCAACATTTTATGGAGCCGGATGTAAAAACTCTAGGAGAGGAGCCGGAGCTGTGGTGGAGCCGGAGTCGGGAGGGTTCGAAGCTGCCCACCTCTGTCTGCTACACGTGTTAGGTAAGTACTTATACTTGTATATCAAGATCACCTTTCATCAGCGCAGATAGCATTCAGGAAAAAGAATCGGTCACAAGAACTTTTGCTATGAAAAAAGTTATTTTCCAACACAGGATAATAGATAAAAAGCAATGTATTCCTCTGTACCTTTTCGTAATGCCGCACATTATACGTTAGTCTATTATAGCACACCGTTGTATGCCTTTAGCCATGTCGAAAATAGCATCACCGAGAGAACGAATTTTCAGTATACTTAAGAAGAGAATAACATATTAATATACCATCCCATCTATATAGTTAACGAACACCGATTTTAGCTGTTAATGTCACGGACCATTGAATACAGCGTCTCCTATTAAAAGCATACATACAATAGTCACCTGTCAATTAATTTTGTGTGCAAAGAAATTTATTCACAATATCTTTAGTTGCTCACCCATGCTTTTCTTGATTCTTTCACCAAGCTTCCATGCCACGTTCTCACTGTTAGAAGTCGACGAGAAAGATATCTTTCAAAAAGCCCCGTGGTTGTTGTTTGAAATTTTTTAACGGAGAGACATTTTCAGTATTTTAGTTACTCTGACACAGAGCTGGGCAAGTCACGGATTTTCCAAGTCTCAAGTCAAGTCAAGTCATCAAAAATTTTCTCAAGTCACGTCAAGTCACAAGTCATGACTTGGAATTTTTATTTTCCGTAGAAAAATGCCCACAGCGGAGCTGGGCAGGTTACAAGTTTTCTACGAGCTTCGGCTTTTTGTTTAGATATGATGTTTGTTTTTCATATTTCACAAAAATATGCATTTCAAAAGATAATCATAAAAAAAGACAATGCTCTAATGAGCCTAACATAGTTCAAAAACAAATCTCATTCTCTTTCCTTTTCGAGTACAGTAAACATCTCTCTGCCTATACTATATTCTCAAATTTTCTTTCTGCACATCATGTGTACAGAATAAAAAAATTTCGTTCTGTGTAGCTTTCTTGTGAAAGCACAGTTTTTTTTATCAAAAGGTCAGTGGGGTCAAAGATTAAAGATTAATTAGAATTATGAACTGTGATCATTACCAAAATATGACAAGTAATCAAAGAGAGCGTATGTGTAATGGAGAAGGTTTACAGATGGTGGTGGCACAGCTACAACAGCAACAATATTCAAATCAATCAACTACACCAAAGAGGAAGTCTAGAAATGATAATAATAGATTTACAGGCAGTGATCATGAGGACATGAGTGGTTCTTGGCTAAACGTAAATCGTAACAAATACAAAAGGACTAACTATCAGAAAGACAGTTATGAACGGCTGTATGTACAACAGATAACACAATCAAGAACAATTCTCAATTCTAATCAACATTTCAATAATCATAGTGGACGTTATGTTCAATTAAGATTAGATTATGCAAGTGAATACCGTTATACTCCTTTTAAAATTGAATGTCATGCAAAACTAACTGACAAGAAGCAAGGTCAAAAATTAGTTACAGAATTATTGAAATTTATTAAAGATGATTTCTCTCATCAAAGTCCATCATTCAGAAATATTCCTATTTTTGATTTATGGTGGATTGATTTAAATGGTGATTTACAAATTATTATAAAGACGACAGAATTGTATGTTTATCTATGTAAACCTGATAGATATCCAAAAGACGTATACAGTTGATGAATTCCTTCCAGCTCCAAAAATACTTATCTGTAATCGTTGTAATACACCTGGTCATACTGAAAACTCATGTAAGAATTCTACAGTTGATATTTGTCGTCGATGTGGAGAGAATAGAACAAATTTAGTTGCTCATAAAGATTGTCGAGTAAAATGTCATCACTGTGGTGGTCCACATGAATTCACTGATTATAAATGTAAATTTATTGCTGATTATAGAAGACAATTGATTGAAGAGCTGAAAAAACACCCTGAATGTCTACCACCTGATATTCAACTGTTTATTCCAAAAGGTTATCGTTCAGATGAGGATAGATCAAAATCAATTTATAACAAGTCTGCATACGAGTACAAGCAATACCTATGTCAGCAAAAGCGACAACAACAACAACATATTTTTAATTTATCTGATAGAAATGCTTGGCCTTATCTAAGACCAAATCCACCAGCAACAACTAATACAGTCTCTCAGAATGATCTTAATTTGAGTGAAACAATTAAATTCTTATCTGATGAATTGAAACAAGTTCAGCAAAAGCATGAAGACGAATAGAAAAGGATTGAACAAAAATTTAAAACTTGCATGACACTGATGAATGAAACGTGCTTGTTGATGCAGCAGAGTCAAGCGACCGAGCAGATTATGGTACGTGCAATGAATGCTGCTATAAGTCAAAAATCTATGTATGGCACTTGCATGAAATTAACAGAACAGTTACATTTCATAGTTGTCAAACTGAAAGCTTATACAAAAAACGATGAATATGATGAGTTATTACAACAGATTAATTTACAAGTGCAATTTCTTACAGAATCTCACACCGAATATTTAAAACATCAAGATGAATTAAAATCTATCTCCATTAAACAAACACAAGCACTGAACCAGATTATGGATAGTTTTCTAAGAATGGAAATGGTTAGTTATGATTTTCATTACTGTAAGCCATATATTAACTGTGATTTAGTGGAATTGTTTGAGAAAAAAACTTTACTTAAAATTTTTTGTGAGTGGAATCATAGGTGTAGTGTGAGTGAGTTATGTGTTGGGTGAAAGAGCGACCTTCTTCTGTGTCTGAAAATCTCTCTATACTTTTATGGAATTGTGAAGGTCTTTCAACTCATCTGTCAGATTTCGATTCTCTTCTTTCTTCTTACTGTCCTCAGGTGTTCATTTTAACAGGGGCGGGGAAGATGATACGTGCGCTCCAGCCTGTCGCCAACTGTAAATGGTTTTCTCAGAAAGGTAATAACAGTTACGGAGGAGTGACAATCTTAGTGCATAACAAAATCACATGTGCAGTTGAGGATAAGGCAGTTCATTTTCTTCTTCTTAAACTAGAGATTTTAAACGAGAAACTTTATATTAGTGGAGTTAATTCACCACCTAAAATACTTCCACCTTTTGAATTGTTTGAGAAACATAAAGATAAAGATATCTATCTATTTGGAGATTATAATGCTAAACATAGCAATTGGAATTGTGAAACAGTAATGTGAGTGGAAACAAACTAAACGAGTGGTTAGTTGAAAATGGATTTGAAGTAGTTGAAGTACCTGATCAACTAGCTAATTATTATGAAAAACATTTTTCAGAGCCAGTTTTTGATGTAAATAATACATTTCATTTTGAATGTATTGAGTCATACGAAAAAATAAAAAATACACAAAACATTTCACTAGGAAAGATCAAACTAGAAGAAGTTGTTTTACAGTGGAAAAATTTTTACCAAAGAAATCTCTCGATAGTGTTGATACTTCTGCCTTTCTTCTCAAACAACTTCCTTTGGAATATTTAAACACAATAACTGTCTTGTTCAATAAGTGTGCTGAAGCAGGCGAATTCTTTGAATCAGCTAAAATAGCGAAAGGTATTTTTCTCTCTAAAGACGGAGCATATCCAATTGAAAGTCGTCTCCGCTCAATTTCACTTCTACCAAATTTAGACAAGGTGTTTAAGCGTATAATCGCAGAAAGAATTGAGAAATGGTGCACAGATCAAGGTATTCACATCGAAGAACAATCTGGATGTACAGCAAGAAAAAGATTACAGACAAGAATTGTTTCTATGATAGATGATTTAAAGTTGACTGTTGCAGCATCAAACAGGCCTGCACTAGTTATTTTTGTAGATTTTAAAACAGCGTTTGATGCCATGTGGTGGCCGGCATTAATGAAAACATTAGAAAACTTAGACATGCCAGTTGAACTACGTAAGTGGATATACAGCGAATGGCTTCAGCGAAGAAAAATGAGTGTTCATCATGGAGGGAAGAAGTGTAGACTTTTTGATATCTTAGTAGGTGCTCCTCAAGGAAGTGTATTAGCAGCTCTATTGCTTAGACTTAACCTCTTATTTTTTACAAATAACGGGTCATCTTTTTGCTGATGATCTTACTATGATAATCAAAGGTGCACTAGAAAAAAGATTAAGTAAGAGTATTGAATCCCTTGAATATCAGGCGAAAAAAGTGCTAAAATCATTAGAGAAATTTGCAGATGATCATATTCTTGCAGTGAATGTATTGAAAACAAAATGTATGTTAATACACAGTGCAGTGTCAGTGAAAAAGCCAGTTTTAAAATATAAAAACATTGAGATCGAATATGTAAAGTCGTTCAAGTGCTTAGGTGTGGAAATCGGTACAAAATTAGGAATGGGAGCACATATCGACAATAGATTGAAAAAAGTTAGATCATCTTACTGTGCTCTAAGAAAGATTTTTCGTACTTTACCGAGAAATGAACTTAAAATACGTAGAAAACTTTTCTGCGCTTTCTCCCTCCCTCACTTTCTATGGCTTTTAAGCACCTGGTTTTATTACACCGATAAACAGAGAGAAAAAATTAAGCATGAGTATATGACTGGTCTTAGACTAGTATACTCCCTTTGGGAATACGAAGATTTTACAACACTTGCACTTAGCAGAGAACTTTCTTTAAGAGATTACGTCTATCGTTATTGGTTAAGGTTTCAAAAGCATTTAGAAGAAAGTCCAGAAAGCGTAATTTATAGACAAACATACAATGCATTTTTGATTGCCACTACTCCTTCGCTTTACTATCGTAGTTGTGGGTTCCGAATAGACAGTAAATTTGTAAAGCGGCTAGCTGATAAGGCGGAACATACCTATCTATCTTTCTTATCCTTTACTAATGTACACCGGAAGCAATATGCACATTTTCGAAAATACTCCTCTCTTCTCGAAACATTCATTTTAAAGTATTTTCCTCTCTATTCTCCTTGAAAACAAAGGTATGTCAAAAAAAAAAATATTGTGAAATTTTGCAGTATAGTATGCCATCGAGTTCATCTTTCTTTTTTATGTTTGTCTCTCTTTGATCTTACTGACCTTCTACGTGAATGGCGAGAGTAGCGTTGTGTAATTTTTTAGCTGTACTTCAAATGAAAAGTTATATCTGTCTGCAGTGTATTGTCTCCTTCTATCTTTTTCTCGTTTTTTCTCTTTCAAGGTGTCAACGTCCATGTATTTTTATTTGTTAACCCCTTCGAGAACAATAAACATAAATGTTAAAAAAAAAGTTCAAAAACAAATCACACGTAGCACGAGCACTTAGCTACGAAAGAATAGAATAAGCTATTCTTGAAACGACATAACGATTCTTGAAATTCGGACTCTTTAGTTTGTTCATACATTTTTAATAAGTTGGATTAGAAAATTAGAAGTGGAACTGCGATCAGTGTGACCTAAGATGATGCAACAACTATGAATCATTAGTTATTATTGCACGTGCCACGTAGTGATACTGAGGATGTAACTGCCAATGAAAACGGCATAAAAGACTCTTTATTCATTCATATTAGAACACAGGCTTGCTATGCTATTGCAAAATGCGCGTCTTGTTACTGTGCATAAATTCTTACACATTATAAGATCAACATTCTCAAATCATTATGAATTATTATTTAAAATTAGATTGCATAAGCGATTTAAAAATATGCATGATTTGACTTGATTTTTCATGCCAAGCCACAAGTCAAGTCTTTTAAAAAAACTTTTCAAGTCAAGCCAAGTTAAAAATGACTTGACTTGACTTGCCCAGCTCTGCTCTGAGAGTCCGGTCTCACGAGCGATATCCTGATCGGGATATAGTGTACATTCCGCACGGGATATTGGGGAAAATTTACATCCTAATCGGGATATTTTTGCAAAACATTTCGGAAAAAATCGCAACGTTATTGCAGAAAAGTGAGTATAGCATAAGAAAGCGGCGGAAAAACTGAGTCGTAATCCATGTTGCTTTCTTATGTAATGCTTTGATTCAACAGTTCACGAATTTTCCAATCAATAGTATCCTAGAAATTTTTGGCTCAAGAGGATACGTATGTGTGCTTTTTGGAGGTATGTTGATCCCAGTGGTTATTGATTATGAAAAAGTCCCGATGGCCACTTTTTATCAATAAGCTATTGGACGTTGTCGTGCCGATTTAGATAAGATAGATAATATTCTCTAATGTAGATGACTGATTGTAAAGTGGAGTTCATTTGTTATTTTTCATTAAATCCATATTCGGAAGGTTTTAAAGGTGTTAACATCTACTTTTCCTTCATCATGTAAGGCAAACCTTTTACGCCTATTGGTACTACCGGTGGTGTCACCAAGCAGCTATTGACACCATTAACGGATATCAATTAAAGCTATTGATATCAATATACAGAAACTTAGTCTTGTGTTGAGACTAAAAATACGTTCTAACAATAGCAAAAACTTTTTCATAAAAAAACAAATTGGTGAGAAAATCAGTTCAGGTAAAATTAATTGATGTTCGATGGTATGTATTCTGTCGCAGATTGCGTAAGTTTGTTCAATCACTACTATTCTGAACAAAAAAGCTTACTGGATTAGTAAGCTATAAGTACTTACTATATAGCAGCGTACTATTCAGCACAGGCGATAGGCTATCGACTATGCTAAACGAGACTACTGTTACAAAATAAAATAGATTCAGATATTTTTTGAATAACATTTAATTGAAAAATGATAAGGATCCGCGGTTTTTGCGGATTTGTAAATAAGAGCTTGGGACAACAACATATGAAAAAAGCAAACTGTCAACTAACGGATGGCTCTAATTCATAGCTCTTTGCTTCCTCAACTGGACGCATCTGTAGATGCATAAAAGAAACAGAAACGAATGCTATTTTACTTGTCTGGAATAAGCAGAAAACAGAAAAAGCATCATCAACCTTAACAAAGAATCGAATGTTTTTTTCGAATCGAAGTTTTTAGCTGAGATTATCTTGAAGTGTTACAACGCTTTCTGAAGTTTTGGTCTGATTGTGATCCTGTCACCGACCGCATTGAAAATGTTTGCTCTCAGAGTTATAGGCTTTGGGATGCTTTTTCTCTTACTTAGTCTGCTGTAGACAAAGAGTATTTTTCAGAACTTCTGACACAAATAAGACAAAGTATTATGAACAGATTATTATCAAACTGAAACGATTATTCCATTGACTGTAAGTCTATGGTCGTAAAAAATAACGTGTTTGTGTGTGTGTTTGTCCGTACAGACGTGTGACGGACGTACAA